TGGATCAGCCCACGCCAGAGCTCCCTGTCGGCCATCATTACCCCCAGCTACTTCAGAGACAAGCCAGTCACTTCAAGGATATCATCCATCCATCTTGCCCTTGGTCGGCCCGTCTTCCTTTTTCCTTCCATTTTCCCCAGCATCATTGTCTTCTCCAAACTTTCCTGTCTTCTCATTATGTGGCAAAAGTACTTCATTTTTGCCTCTACTATCCTTTCCTCCAATGAGCAGTCAGGCTTTATTTCCTGGATTATGGACTGCTTGGATCTTCCCTAAACTACAAATCTGCTTTTTTATCTGACCTACTTGGGAACTGAGATTTCCTTCCTTGGACCCCTGGGCTCCATTCTGTAGTGTGCTGGTCATAGACTGTAATAAATAATTAATAATAATAACAATAATAACACGGGGCATGCGTATTCAGCAGCAAAGTAGCAAAGCATAAGGGCAGATGCCTTCATTGTCTGTGGTTGTGATCTCCAGGTTGTGGTCAAGAGAAGGTCAAGGGCTTGAACACTGTTTCCATCCTAAATATCTCGGTGTCACCTTAGATTGAACACTAGCATATAGGAAACACTGCTTGAACACCAAGCACGAAGTAGCTGCACACAATAACATCCTGCGGAAATGTGCTGGCAGAACATGGGGTGCAGACCCAAAATTAATAAGAACATCAGCCCTAGCCTTGTCTAACTCAACTGCCGAGTATGCCTTGCCTGCCCTGTTTGGAATAAGTTTGGCATAAGTCTGCCCATGCAAAGCCGGTGAACATAGCATTGAACTAAACATGCAGAATAATCACAGGATGTCTTAAGCTTACACCTGTTGACAAACTCTACAAGCTATCCCCCCCCCCAAATGTGTGACAGGATGACTACCAGCCTCCTCCCAGTAGACTCAAATCAAGGAAAAGCTTCATAAGCACTACCACTCCTCTTGGCGTCCCCCCAGCAACGGCAAGGGTATCCCTCTGGGCAGCTAAACCAAGAAATTCCAACTGGATGGCCCCCATGAGGGTCTTCCTCCAAGAGCGGGCAACTTGGAAGTCCCTGAATAGACTCAGAAGCGGAGTGGGCAGATCAAAAGATAATCTGGCAAAATGGCACTACCTAAAAGAATCCCACACCTTGTGTGAACATACAACTCTGCATCTGTATGCTTGTCCACTATGCCCTGCCTCATGTACAGAGGAAAAATTGTTGGAGGCCCATTTTTAGTCAAAAGATATTTAGCCGCCTGTGCTCCTTCTATTTTTATCAGTTTGACTAGCTGTACCTGCCACGCGTTGCTGGGCCAACATTCACTCCCCCTCTCTCCTTCTTTCTCTCCTTCCCTTTTCTTCTTTCCTTCTCTCCTTCCTTCCTTCTTCTGCTTTCCTTCCTCCCTTTTTCTTTTCCTTCCCTTCCTTCCTTCCTTCCTTCTCTGCCTCTTTCCTTCCTTCCTTTGCTTTTTGCTTCCTTCCTTCCTTTTGTCTTTCCTTCCCTCCTTCTTTCTCTTTCTTTCTCTTCTTCCTTCGCTCCCTCTTTCCTTCCTTTCCTTCCTTTCCTTCTCTCCTTCCTTTTTTCTCTCCCCATTTCTTTCCATCCTTCTTCCTCTTTCTTCCTTCTCTACCTTTCCTTCCTTCGCTCTTTGTTTCCTTCTTTCTTTTCCCCTTCCTTCCCTCCCTCTTCCTTCCCTTTTTTTCTGTATGTAATTTATCTTTTCGTCATTTATCTTTTGGGAGGTTTTAAGTCCTTTCCACTGGTTTTTTTTTTTTGGATGGGGAGTATGAGTGATGGTCACTCATTGGTCTGTTTGGAGTGTTGGGTCCAAATTTTGTGTCATTTCGTCCAGTGGTTTTTGAGTTATGTTAATCCCACAAACGAACATTATATTTTTATTTATATAGATACTAATTTATGCAATGCTTTTGACACTAAATAAATAAATCCCCAGGTTGTGCCATTCAGCTTTCGTATGATATTATTTCAAACAGAAGGGACAGAGAATTTCATCTATGCTGACGATCGTGCCATTACTGCTCAAGCAGGGAGCTTTGAGATGGTAGAACAGAAGCTTTCCGAAGCTCTAGGTGCTCTTACTGCCTATTACAGGGAAAACCAGCTGATCCCCAACCCATCTAAAACACAGACATGTGCCTTTTATCTCAAGAACAGAGAAGCATCCCGAGCTCTGAAGATCACCTGGAAAGGAATCCACTGGAGCATCGCAGCGCACCCAAATACCTGGGAGTCACTCTGGACCATGCTCTGACCTACAAGAAGCACTGCCTGAACATCAAGCAAAAAGTGGGTGCTAGAAACAATACCATACGAAAGCTGACTGGCACAACCCGGGGATCACAACCAGATACAGTGAAGACATCTGCCCTTGCGCTGTGCTACTCTGCTGCTGAGTATGCATGCCCAGTGTGGAACGCATCTCACCACACTAAAACCTTGGATGTGGCTCTTAATGAGACATGCTGCATTATCACGGAGAGTCTGCGCCCTACAGCACTGGAGAAATTACACTGCTTAGCCGGTATTGCACCACCTGACATCCGCCGGGAAGTAGCAGCCAATAGTGAAAGGACCAAGGCAGTGACATCTCCAGCTCATCCCCCGTTTGGGTATCAGCCAGCACATCAATGACTTAAATCTAGAAATATTTTTTCTAAGATCTACAGAGACACTCGCCGGAACACCTCAGCAAGCGAGAGTCCAAAAGTGGCAGGCTCAAACCCAGACCCTCAACCAATGGCTGATACCAAATGAGGGACTCCCTCCTGGGCACACAGAAAACTGAGTGACTTGGAAGGCGCTGAACAGACTGCGCTCTGGCACCACGAGATGCAGAGCCAACCTTCAGAAATGGGGCTACAAAGTGGAACCCTCGACACACTCTTGAGTGTGGAGAAGAGTAAACCACTGACCACCTGCTGCAATGCAAAACCGCTGTTGAAGAAACCATCACTGGACCCCACTAAATTTGACAACTTTCGGCCTGTTTCCAATCTCCCCTTTTTGGGCAAAGTCATGGAAAGCGTGGTGGCCTCACAACTCCAGGTATTCTTGAAAGACACGGATTATCTGGACTCGGCACAGTCTGGTTTCAGACCGGGACATGGAACTGAGACGGTCTTGGTCGCCTTAGTGGATGATCTGCGCCGGGAGCTAGACAGGGGGAGTGTGTCCCTGTTGGTGCTCCTGGACCTCTCAGCGGCCTTCGATACCGTCGACCACGGTATCCTTCTGGGGCGCCTTGCGGAAATGGGTCTTGGGGGCACTGTTCTGCAGTGGCTCCAGTCATTTCTGGAGGGTCGCACCCAGAAGGTGTTATTGGGGGACACCTGTTCAACACCACAGCCGTTGTCCTGTGGGGTTCCACAGGGCTCTATACTGTCCCCCATGCTGTTCAACATCTACATGAAGCCGCTGGGTGAGATCATCCGGAGTTTTGGGGTGCGGTGTCATCTGTACGCAGATGATGTCCAACTCTGTCACTCCTTCCCACCTGCTACTAAGGAGGCTGTCGAGGTCCTGAACCGGTGCCTGGCCGCTGTAATGGTCTGGATGAGGGCGAACAAACTGAAATTAAATCCAGACAAGACAGAGGTACTCCTGGTCAGTCGAAGGCCGAACAGGGCATAGGGTTACAGCCTGTGCTGGATGGGGTCGCACTCCCCTTGAAGGCGCAGGTTCGCAGCTTGGGTGTGATCCTGGATTCATCGTTGAGCCTGGATCCCCAGGTTTCAGCGGTGACCAGGGGAGCATTTGCACAGCTTAGGCTCGTGCGCCAGCTGCGCCCGTACCTCGGGATGTCTGACTTGGCCACGGTGGTACACGCTCTGATCACATCCCGACTTGACTACTGCAACGCTCTCTACGTGGGGCTGCCCTTGAAGACGGCCCGGAAGCTTCAGCTAGTCCAGCGAGCGGCTGCCATGCTACTAACAGGAGCAGGACGCAGGGAGCACACAACGCCCCTGTTGTTCCAGCTCCACTGGCTGCCGATTTGCTACCGGGCCCAATTTAAGGTGCTGGTGTTGGCCTACAAAGCCCTAAACGGTTCCGGCCCAAAATACCTCTCTGACCGCATCTCGGCCTATGAGCCCACGAGGGCCTTGAGATCATCTGGGGAGGCCCTTCTCTCAATCCCGCCTGCCTCACAGGCACGTCTGGCGGGGACGAGAGATAGGGCCTTCTCAGTGGTGGCCCCCCGGCTATGGAGCACCCTCCCTGTTGACATCAGACAGGCGCCCTCACTTATGGCATTCCGTAAGAGCCTAAAAACATGGCTATTCGAAAAGGCGTTTAACTAAGTGCTATAAAAAAAAATTGGCAATGACGACTGGAACAGAATATGGACTATGAGATTGGCTTATGATTCTATGTTGAGACGACGCGGATGATTTAGTTTAATTATATGTATTGTAAACTGTTTTTATATGTTGTACACCGCCGTGAGTCGCCCTAAGGGGCTGAGAACGGCGGTCAACAAATGCAATAAATAAATAAATAATAAATAAATAAAATGCCACCTGAGCCCTGCCACATGCACCATGGAGGACCTTCTTGCGGCAACACCAGAAGCACTCCAAGTGGCCAGATACTGGTCAAAGGACATTTAATCAACTACCAAACTCACAAGTTTTGTATTTTGTCTGTTTGTTTGCTTTGTTCTGTTAGAAATGTAATATAATTTGACTGGTTGTCCTGACACGACAAATAAATAAAAATAAAATAAATTTCAAGCACGTGTCTGAGCCAGGCCCCAGTCCTGCCTCTGCCTTAAGAGCTTCCCTCTTCACCATGGAAACTGTCGCATTCTTTCCTTCCTGTAGCTGGGAAGCGAGTGACAGCTGCGTTTTCGAATCACAAACGGAGGCGGGGCTTCAAGGCGAGCCACGCCCCCTCCCTGTTGTGCAGTGAGGGAAAAGGCAGCCCTGGTGAAAGAGGTGGCAGGTTAGACGAGGAAGTCGAGAGGCGGCCAATCAGCAGTCGCTCAGCGCGGCGAAGGCGGGGCCTAACGGAGAGACGGGCCCGAGGCCAGCCAATCCGGTGCAAGCTCGGTCCGTGCTCCACGTCGGCATCAGAAGCGACCAAGATGGAGGCGCTGATCCTGGTAGGAGCCGGAGGGGCAAGAGAGGGGGAGAAGGGGCCTTGCGAGGGCGCGCGCCGTCGCCATGGAGACGGGACCCGGTGGGCGGGGCCCGTCGCCGGTTGCTGGGGGCCTCCTTGGACCCGGGCCTGGCCTGGGAAGGGGGCCTCCAGGAGGGACCAGAGGGGCCGCTTCCCCCGCTATGGAATTAAAGACAGCTTGACGCCACTTTGGCTGCCATGGCTCAATGCTGTGGAGTCTGGGAGCTGTAGTTTGGTGAGGTCCCAGCCCTCTGGCCAAAGAAGGCCCAAGCAATGGTTCTCAACCATTGTGTTTTGGCCTACAACTCCCAGAAATCCCAGCCAGTTTACCAGCTGTTAGGATTTCTGGGAGTTGAAGGCCCCATTTGGGGACCTACATGTTGAGAACCATTGGCAAGGCCTTGTAAAACTACAACTCCCAGGGAGCCATGGCATCTGAAGAGGTAGCCTTATCTATATGATCATAGAGCAGAAATGTGAAGACAAAACTGTTTTTAAGTCTAGTCAAGGCACTCATTGCCTCTGCAGTGAATGGATCCTTTGAACTCCCAACTATTATAAGGCAGGAATAAAGTGCCCCTTTGCTCCCTATAAACTAGGAACTACATTTCTCCAGCATCTTCCAATCCCCATGGGTGACAGGCGAAACAAATCGGCCAATCCAAAAAGTTGATAGCCATGTATAAATATGTGAGAGGAAGTCACAGGGAGGAGGGAGCAAGCTTGTTTTCTGCTTTCCTGGAGACTAGGATGCGGAACAATGGCTTCAAACTACAAGAGAGGAGATTTCATCTGAACATGAGGAAGAACTTCCTGATTGTGAGAGCCGTTCAGCGGTGGAACTCTCTGCCCCGGAGTGTGGTGGAGGCTCCTTCTTTGGAAGCTTTTAAACAGACTGGATGGCCATCTGTCAGGGGTGATGTGAATGCAATATTCCTGCTTCTTGGCAGGGGATTGGACTGGATGCCCATGAGGTCTCCAACTCTTTGATTCTATGATTCTATGTTATTCATCTCAATTGTGCCTCCTTGAAAAGGGAGATCACTCCCAAGAGAAGAGTCCATCAGCTGGTACAGGTTGAGCATCCCTTGTTGGGTATCTGGAAATACTCCCAAATTATCCACCTGAGTACCTGAGACATTGTCCTCTTTGTGGGTGCTTCAGTTTAGACAATATAATTATTATTATTATTATTATTATTATTATTATTAAAAAACTTTATTTATACCCCACCATCATCTCCCCAAGGGGACTTGGGGTGGCTTACATGAGGCCAAGCCCAACAACACATCAGTAAAACCAAAACAGCAAGCAAATAAACAGTACAATTAATATAACTCACATATAAACAATAACACAGAGAATTTAAAACCTTATGTACAGACAAACTGTGTTCTGTGAACTTACTTTCATTATTAAAAATATTGTGCTTAAAATACCACCAGCAATGTATATACATTTCATGTTTAGATTGGGATCCCTGCTTTTGAAGATACCACATATTGGGTGTATATTCAAATACAGCTATTCCAAAATCCAAAACACTTCTTGTCTCAAGCTTTTCAAATAAGGGATACTCAACCTGTCGCCATAATTGGTCTCCCATTATGCTGGATCTACACTGCCAAATAATCCAGTTTGTGAATCCAGATTATCTGCTTTTGATTATATGAGTCTACACTGCCATATAACATATAACAATTCAAAACAGATAAATTGGATTCAGAAACTGGATTATATGGCCTTGTAGATGAGGCCTTAGGGCCCTTCCACATCACCATAAAACACAGAATATCAAGACAGAAAATCTCACAATTTATGCTTTGAACTGGGTTATCTGAGTCCACCCTGGCATATATTCCAGTTCAAACAGATAATGTGGAATTTTATTCAGCTGTGTGGAAGGGGCCTTGGTTAGTTTTCCTCACAGAGATCCTCCATAGAAGTTGTTGCTTGTGTTCATTTGTAATGCAGCATTGTAACCCTATATTAAAAGAACCTGAAACTGTTATATGAAATGCTGGGGCTTCAGACAATTACTAATGAGGGCTGTGTGTGTGTGTCCACTGCTGAAGTTAACATGACTCACCAAGCATTTGATTATTACAGGACTTAGAGGCAGTGTTGTCCAAAGCAGTAGTCCATGGGCTGGTGCTGATCTGCAAGTTAGAGAGGGTCTAGGAAAATAAGAAACAGTTGTCATTGGGCACAAATATTGGGCCAATCCATGGCACATTAGGAGGAAAGGTTGCTGGTGTCCTATATCTTACAGCTTTAGACTACATTCTTAAGATTGCGATGCCATACACATATGATTGTTGTAGACTTATCTTTACTTCATAGAATATCCAAACTACAATGACTGTTTAATGCAGTTTCAAACCAGTGTTGACTGGTTCCAGGAAATCCTGGAACCAGTTGGAGGCCCGGATAGTGACTACACAAAGCTTAAGGGCTTTCTTTTGTGTACTTTTGTAGGAGTTTGTTATCAGGCAGCTACAGTTTGAATCGAACATTGAACTGAATTAAATTGTCAGCTTAGATGGGGCCTTGTTTAGTTGCTGAGTTATTAGTTCTGTACAGATTATGGACTTCGCTGTTAACTGTTGCCAACTGTACATTGATTTATGGCAACCCTATGAATGAGAGACCACCAATTCACTCTATCCTCATCTGATTTTTCAGGCTCAAGTTGGTGGCTTTTTTGCTTGAGTCTAACCACCTGGAATGTGGACTTTGTCTTTAAGTGTTTGCACCTTACCAAGCATTACTGTCTTTTCTAATGAGTCATACCTTCTCATGATTTGTATAACAGTCTCGGTTTAGTAATCTTGACTTCTCGGGAGAGTTCAGGTTTGATTTGCTCTAGGACTCATTCATATGTCTTTTTAGCAGTCCACCATATCCACCAAACTTCACTAGCACCACATTTCAAATGACGACTTCTTCTTCCTCCTCCTCTTCCTCCTCTTCTTCTTCCTCCTCCTCCTCTTCTTCCTCCCCCACTTCCTGCTCTTCCTCCTTCTCTTCTTCCTTCTCCTCCCAGCTTTCTTGATTTTCCAGCTTTCACATCCATACATAGAAATGGGAAATATGATGGCTTGAGCAATCATTAGTATTTGGTGTCTAGTTCCTCCATAGCATTAGCTACCCTTTCAAATCCTAGCCTTTTTCTGATGTCTTTATTGCAGTCTCAATTCTGATCGACTTCTCCGTGGCATAACTATTTCAACATTCAGCATCTTCTTTAAAGGAATTGTCTGGTTAAAACACTTGAGTACTTTGGGTCCTGACAAATATATCCGTGAACAGTAAGCTTTTACTAGCCTACTTCCTTCATACCTGTGTTGCCACTATCCATTTGTTTACCTTTAGTTCTCAGTAAGTGCCATTTCTAAAAAAGGGATAACAGAATGAGGCTGTTAGTGCTGCTCCATACTTCTCTTATTGCTGAGTTGCTTGGACAGGGCATGTTTGTATGAATCAGCAACAGCAACAACAAAGTAGTGCCAGAAGGCTGGAGACTTGGATCATGCCCTACTTAAATGAAAATGTATCCGACTGAGTTGTAAACCTTTTCTGAATTTGTAAGAGCCAAAAGAAGGCATGAGATCAATAATTTGTAAGTGACTGACTTATTTATGTACAGAAGTATAAACAGGCTTTTGATCATTACTTCTGGACTTACTCTGCTGTGTTGATGTGAGGATAAAATAGAACGACTCCATGTAAAATAATATTTTGAGCTTAATGTTATTATGCCCCTTCCTTTATAGGTTGTTATGTATATTACTTCACAAATTTTAAAATCTAGGTAGGTTAGCACTACTATATTGGGACCTAGACTTCTTCAATATTGTATCCGAACAGCAACCGAATAGCTCTAAATGTGGAGAAACTTCTTCTCATCTATTAACCACTGTAGGTGACGCTTTATTATTATTACCTTATGATAATCAAATAAAATTAGCCTTGTTGCAGGTGGTGAACAACATCAAAGTAATGTAAACATTTTGCATGCTCAATGAACAAAAAGTTCAGAGTGGCAACAACTGCTTTTTGATTTTACTTTATAACAAACTGATAATTAAATGTAAGTCTAATGTCTGACATGTCCCCACTTGTGCAACCTCCAGTTGTTGCTTAAGTCACTATGGAAACAACCTCAGGCTAGTAACTCTCAACCTAACACACACTGCTGTGTAGATGTGAGGATAAAATGGGAAAACTCCATATACAGTAAGACCCTCATGCCCACTGGTGATGTATTCCAGGCTGGACCATAATTACCTGAAACAGCAGATATGAACACCGTTAAATTACCTGATTTCCAGTCCAAGCATGCCATAGACAGACAACCTCTAGGAATTTGTTACGTCCTTGTGCACAACTTTGATGACTTTCAGGAAAAGCGTATCCATAGTATAATCTGATGGACTTAGCAAAATCCTAGAGAGATCGCTTTCTCCAGGCACAGGTAAGTGATTCTACGGATATGGGTTCTCACTGTACTTTCAACATAGGAGGACATTATGTTGGTGTAGGCTGCCCCTAAAAAAGAGAAAAAGAGGTTCTTTTCCTGCTCCAGGACTGAGGATTTTGAATTAAAAACAGAGAATGTCATCTTCTATAGAGAACACGCTCTTTAGTGGCTGCTACATTGATGAAAATGCAGGATGCCATTTTCCTGCAAAGCACATGTTGATTTTCAGAGGCTGCATTTCTATCCATGCTGTAAGCGTGTGGCTCAGGCCTCACTGTATCCTAGCAATGTGCTTTCCCTGCTTTCCAGGAAAGGCTTTCCCTTGTCTGTCTGTGAGCTGTGCTGCCCCAGGTGGCCTGGTAGGAATGGCCTGGCCCAGCCTCCTCCTCCTGGCTCTCCAATTGCCTTTTGCAAATAAAACAGGCGCAGACATATTTCTTGCCATCTTGTCTCCCTCACCTATTGCTACCCTTCTACAGGGTCCTGGCAGCTGTAAAATCTTTACTGCAGACGCTGCTGCTATCATGCTGACCATCTGGGCCATTGCACACCTAGTTTAATTGATTGAAGTTTAATTTATTGAAACTTCAGAATTAAATGATCAGAATAAACTGTGCAGTAACTCTTAACGTCTTGTTTTAATGGTTGATTGCTCAAGGCAGCCCTTGGCTTGAACTAGAAACCTCCAGAGAGAAATTTATGCTGCTTCTGGCCTTCCAGTCAGCACTCATTATAGATTTAAAATGTGTGTTTATTTGCTGTGTCTCCAGTGGAAGCTTCTCTCTCTCTCTCTTTCTCTGGAAAAGAGGTGTATACATTCTCCTTGGATGGTTATATAGTGAGAACCTATTCAAACATATTTGCTGTCTCTCCTTTTCTCTGAAAGTAAAACAGGATGGAAATGCCCCACATTCATTCAGTGCATGTCAATGACACAATTGTCCTTTGATGCTTTTTGTGTGGATTGTTGGCTGCTTAGCTTTATGGCATTGCACTGTCATGCATGTAGTTTTACAAGGCGTCATTGTGGAGTTTTGGCTCGCCTTCCTTCTCTAAAATGAGGATTCTCAAGTGGAGGCATTGCCTAGCAGGCTGGTGAAATATTATAGGAGAGCAGGGAGAATTCCCATTGCAGATGTTCTTGTCTTGCCAGAGAAGAGGGAGAGGGGGAGTTTGGAAATATGAAAGATGGAGGGAGAGAATTAATTTGACTACATTGCTGCTGATCCTAATACTCTTTCACATTCTCTTCTCTTTTGCATGAAGCACACAATTTTTCTGTTGATTTCATTGAAGAACCTTCTACAAAGCAAAAACCTTTCTTACATTCCTTTTATAATGACAGGAAACTCCTGCAATCCCAGCCACAAATCTGCTGCTTGTAACTGAGGATTCTGGGAAGTCTGTTAGGGAAATAGTTAATGGGGTATGTGGGGCCTGCAAGAGCTGAAAACACACCTTCAGAGTACATGTGATTTTTTTAGGATAGTTAAAAATATCAGGAAACTTTTGGTCTATGATTTTGGATTGTAATTCCCACAGTCATTTGCCATTAGACATGTGGCTGAGACTTTTCTGAAAGATGAAGTTCTGGGAAGTCAAAACTCCTCTCTTTCCTCCTTCCTTCAGTTCCAGGAGATTTGTGTAGTGTTAATAAACTGTATGGGGCTGAGAGGGGCGGTATATAACTATAATAAATAAATACATTACGGAAAAATTTCTTAATGTGATTGTCTAATCTCAGCAACATCTGATAAAACTCTGGAGAAATTCCCAGGAACGCTATACAAAAATCACTGTGTTACGTAGGACTGAGTAACCCCTGGCTCATACACTCTATAAAAATTCTAGAATTTGGCCTATTTTCTCTTAGAATTATGACTGGATGACCCTTACTGTGGTGATTCCCAGCAGCGAATTACCAGTGAACATTCCCAACTCATTGTGGTGCTCATGAAATGCGAATAATTTGCTCCAAAAAAGAGTATTATTTGCAGGAGGGAGAACTGTGGGTGCAAAATGCAGTGTAATTACATTGTACCCAGAGACCAATTTGGAGCTTTCTGTTAGGGCTGGGCGGTTTCGTTCATTAATTTCGTAATTCGTTAAAAATTCGTTATTTTTTTTTATAATGAAGCGATATTGAACCATTCAGGAGCAACTAAAAAATGAAACGAATTTTTCAATTCGTTTCGTAATTGTTTCGTAATCGATTCGTAATCGTTTCGAAATCGTTTCGTTATTGTTTCGCTATTATTTCCGTATGTCTGGTGCAAGTTTTATAGTTGCTGTTTGTTTTATCAGTGATAAAAAAATAAATTATTACACCTACAGTCAACAACAGAGGGAGAGGGAAGCTTCAGAAGTTCCCCCTGTCCCATTTGGAGGTTTTTTTTAGCGTATTGCGCAGTCGCGTCCGCCATTAACGAATCGATTCGTAATTGTTTCATATTTGTTTCGTAATTTCCGAAATTTCGTAAATATCGAACTTTTTTAAAGAAAAATTTCGGAATTCTTTTAAATAACGAAACACAAAAAAACCCTGAAAACTAATCGAGTTTAGAAACAAATTTTTCCGTGGTTGGACAGCCCTACTTTCTGTCTCTGTTCTTCAGTTGTTCTTGGAAATCAGATGTGAGTGTGTGGCCTGGTTCAGTGGAGGGGCATATCTGGAAGGAGATTCAGGCTTCACCTCACATGTGTAGTGAATCTATTTGCCTGTCTGCTCCGTAATTGGACCTGTTAGAAAGGAGTTAATGCAGCGCTTGAGGTGAAGTTCTGTTATACACTCTGACTGTGGCTATGTGGAAGTCAGTGCATCACAGAACTTTGTCTCGAGAGCTTTCCAGCATCCAGCATACAGGATTTTTTTTTGTCAGTTTTTTCTTCTTATACGAAGAGATGTTGGAGGGTATAGCAAGCTGCCTTTTAGTACAAGATCCTGGAGCTCAGTATTGGCAGCATTTCCAGGGAGGTAAACCTCATGCAATTTTTTCCTATGGTTTTATATTCTCTAATATTTAAAGGACTGATATAGAAATGTATAGGTCCTATTTTGACCTGGCAGTGTGGAAGGTGTATCTGTAGCCATCATGCAGATTTATACTTAGCTAGAGCACTTCATGTGCTGTTCTTGTGTGTTGAGTAGTAGTCATTGGCTAGAATGGCATACAAGAAGGAGCCACCTACTAATTATTGACTTTCTCAATACAGTCTGCCCTCCACATGTGCAGTTTTGACTTTTGATTAGTTATGGATTTGATTAAGATGTTCTTTAGACTCTCCAGTGTGATTCTGTGATCAGCTTGTAGCAGAAGTCATGGTGGAGGACCTAAAATACCCTCAGGTGATTAAAAGTGTGTATGTGTGTGTGTGTGTACACACACATGCATGTTTATTTACAGTATTTTATTTATATTATGGCCTTTTATTGGTGTTCGCACACCAATGGACATAGGCACAAAATTTAGAAAAATATATTCATTTTCCCACTTCGATTGGGACCTTATGTCCCTAACCTCTACATTTGTGGAGGGCTGACTGTAATGCTTAAATGGCCAGTAGTCCTAGACTTTTCATATTTGTACAGGAAAACGGCACTTTTACAAGAGCAGCCTGCCCTATTGGGTAAGCTGACAACTATTAGAGACTCAGGAGACCCAGGTTTGCTTTCAGCTATTCTTTTTATCTGGACCTGTTTAAAGAAACAAAAAAAGGAAGGGGTTTAGGAAGAAAGGAGGAAGTATATGATGCACTAGTACAATCCACTTGCAGATAATACCACATCAGGTGGTTTGGAAAAGGCTATGCCCATAGTAATATTATAGGCCATCAGACTGTGCTGTTTTCCTCTTTTCTTTTTTTTTTGCATCTCAGGATGCCCTTTTTATCCAGAGAAGTTTCTCCACCACTATCCTTTGGCTCCCTCTGGTGTTGAATGGCTAGAAGTGGGCCTAAGTGAACAGTGTTGGGGATTCAGGCGAAGGATTCATGGCCAGGAGGTCAGGTTGACCTGCTGAGAAGATCAGATATAGCAATCAGTTGTAAAACTTCTTTTGGTGATGGCGATGCTATCTGAGTACAGTTTGAACTTGTGGAATCTCTTTTTATGTTAAATCTTGTATACTTTGGATTTGGTCACTTTCTGACTTGTTTTTTGGACTGACCAATTTTCCTCCCAGCCTCTTAAGCCATCAGCTCCAACAAATTTTCCCACGCACCCTGTGCTATAGATAGTTTCCTTTCCCAGCCTTTCAGTCATTAGGCATAGTACTGTTAGAGTCAGCCTGTACTCTACAGTGTTTGTAACAGGTGTGTCCTCATGCAGGGAAGGTGATGATGAAGCCTATTTAAAATGATGCAGACACAACTCTGGATGCAAATGGGGAAATATGTTTTTTCTGCAGGCTACCTTTTCACAATCTCAGTTTGGAGAGGTTCACTTCATATACTCCTGCACTAGTGGAACTGATCTCATGAGATGCACTCCCACGTTAGAGAGTATGTGTAGGGAAATCATGGAAGTGATGCAATTCCCATAAATCTTCCCATGCACAGAAGTAAGAGTCCTGATCAGGAGGGGGAAGACCCCACAAAGTCAACCCTATTCATGTATGTGGTCACAGTTCTGCAGACTGTTTTTGGGTACTCCCCTCCCAAAATCTTTTTGTACTCTTTCAGATCTAGTGTGGTAAGACCATCTGTATGTAAAGCCATGGACATTCCATCTATATTGATTTGCGCCCGGCAGGAACAATACCTCAATGATTGGTATAACATTTTGGGAAACCCGGTGTTCACAAAGGTTCTGGTTCTAATGTCTGAGCTCCACAGTCAAGGAACAGTCACCAAGAAAGCTCTGGGAGGCACTGTTAGATGGAGAAGGCAGCCGGTGTTGATTGAATAGAACCATTCAGTTGTGCCTTCCTTTGCAGGAGCCCTCTCTCTACACAGTCAAAGCCACCCTGATCTTGGACAATGATGGAGACCGTCTGTTTGCGAAGGTAAAAGTCCTTGATATTTGGAATGCCTGGGAAGGGAAAGGCTCTAGGACAGGAGTGGGTAAGCTGCAGGGGTTGGACAGCCATTTGTTTTTGTCTCTTCCAGTCCTCTGGAGGTTGCAGTGATACTTGGAAGTGACATTTTTGATGTTTTAAGATGCTGTAATATGCAGTTTAGTGGTATTCTTGCTGCTTATTGTGTTTAGGAATGTAGTTTCTCCATACAGTTTTTAGGGGTCAAAATGGGCCCCAGAAGTCATATTTTGGCTAGAAAACCATTTTATTCTGCTAATCCTTTAAAAAAGTATTTTGGGTCCAAGGAAGCAAATAATTCCAGGCTCTGCTTGAAAAAATTTAGATTTAGCAGACCCGGGATCCTCATATGTATTTTTTTCAACCATGTTTCTGCTTTTGGAGGAAGATGCTACTCAATCCACCTATACCTATTGAGGCAACTTGAACCATATTTTAACTCGGATGACTGATGCTTATGCAATGTGTACTGCTTTTGCTGTCAGCAAGAGCACTCAGCCATTTTGTGAAGTTAGTTCATTTGTTCGTGCATGCTTCTTTGGAAAAGTAGATACCACCAGTTTCTCCCATGTAGTTCTTGATAACTTTGTATCTGTAGATTATTTTGCTACAATGATTGATCTTAGAGAAGTTTTACAGCAGAAACTTTTGTTTCACATCACTGTGTTGCCATCTTGCCTCTATCCAGAACTCATAGCTAAAACAATGTCATCTATTGAAATGTTTAGTTATCCTCTATTTGAGTTCTGACTGGGACATGCCTTCATCCAGATTGCTCTGTCTCTGCTTCATTTCCTCATCTATGCAAAGTGAGGGGAGATAGCCACAATCTTAGACTTTCTATGACATTTATGGTCTCCGTGAATAAATACGGTTCTAAAGCTCAGCTGAATAGTAGTTAAACCTCACTTTCTTATGTAACATACCTTTCTTTTCCTCTGCAGTACTATGATGACACTTACCCCACTGTCAAGGAGCAAAAGGCTTTTGAGAAGAATATTTTCAACAAGACTCACCGGACAGATAGTAGGTTCTGCTGGGAAGCACTATGGCAGGAGCGTTTGGGGTGGCTACATAGAATAGGTTAAATGATCTTATTCTGATATCCTTTTGGGAATCTTTGGAGGGAAGCTCCCATCTAAAAGGCCAGTAAAAGGAGGGAACATGACAAAGGTTTATAAAAATGTGCCCAGTATGGGAGATGGAAATACAAAAAAGTAGACATAACTTTTTCTTCCTCTCTAATGAAAGTAGACCCCATTTCAATGAAGCTGATATTTGAACCCAAATAAACAAAAGTACTTGCACACAAAGTGGTGTGTAGTTTAAAATGGTATTTTCTTCTTTAAGATGTGGTGTTGGCTCTCAGGTTGGATAGCTTAAAAGGGTATTCAGATAGATATATGGAGGATAAGGACCTCATCACACTTGAGAAGGAATCCATTTTAAATCTGGTTGCTGCCTCCTGCAGAATTCTGGGGTTTGTAGTTTTGGGAGAAGCCTTTAACAGCCTCACTAAACTACAAACCGCAGAATTATGCAGGAGGCAGAAACCGGATTTAAAGTGGATTCATTCTAGTCTAGTGTGATGAGGTAGTAAGACTATCCTGATGGTAGTGTCTCACTTCCAGGCTATCTCTAAACACCAATGATTGAGGGGAAAAAGGTGTTGCCTTAATGGTTTTGTGGGCTTCCTGGAGATACCTGGTTAGTCCCTGGGAAGATGCAAGGTATTGAACTAGGTAGGGCCGTTGGTGTGATTTGCCAGATTTCCGATATGCTGTTCTTCCTCTGAGAAGATGGTTGAATTTGTTCTCCTCTAGCTTTGTCTGTAGAGTGTAAGAATCGATTTTGGAGCTGTATATGTACATAGAAACATTCCTTTCAGGTTTCTGGCTCTTAATGATAGCACTCAGGATGGAAATATCTGGGCTGTGGTCCATATATGGACGTTGTAAGGATCCACTGACTCTTTTGCAAAGTTGTGGGCCTTTTTTCAGCTGATTTTTTTTATTTTAAATCAGACCCAATAGCTTTGGGATGTTTAAAAAATTGGTGCCAAATAAATCCCTGAAAAGGCAAAACAAAACTGGAATTTACATAGTATTGTTTGTAGTAAACCACGGCAGTGGTGGCAACAACAACAACAACCCTAACCCTAACCCAAACAAATACCTGGAAAGGCAAAACAAAACTGGAATTTGCATGGTATTGTTTGTAGTAAGCCACAGCAGTGGCGGCAACAACAATAACAACAACAACAAGAACAAGAACAATAGTTGTCGTCATCATCATCTTTATTTATAACCCACTCTGTTTCCCCAAAGGGACTCAAGGCGGTTTTCAAACAAAAAAGTGGCAAACATTCAATGCCATAATGAAAACAAACAGTACAACAATGTTCTATGGCCCTCTGGAGTGGCCAAATTATCCTTTGATTTCAGCAAATACCCTTCTATAATAAATATCTTTGTTTTGTTCATGACTACAAGTGGGTAGGTGGATTTCACACTAAAGAGGCATAGCAGTGCGTAGCTGACTTTTGTCGTGTGTCCTATAAGTGGACATGATTGCTGGAACAGTTGTACATATCATATCTGGCAGTAGCTCAAAAGCAGTGCCTGATCTCAGTTGCAGTGTACTACTGCAGTCCAGTTTCAGTGGATACGTTATTGCTCTTTTAATGGGGCAAAAGAACCCTGTAACTCCCGTTGGTGCTACTAAATCAGATACTGTTGGGAAAACAGGGATCAAATGAGTATTTATAACTTGTCTCATGTACAGCAAGAAAGTGTGTCTCAGTGTATGTCAAGACACTGCTCAAGAAAATGGTGAACTATTGTGAGTTGCATTTTGAGATTTCTTTGTGAAAAATTATTTACCCAAAAGCTTGGGTTTTGCATAGAAAACACTTCATTTTGAGATTTTTTTAAAAAAATTGTACAAATAATAAGTTGCATAAGTTAGTTCCCCCCACGATAGGTCCCCAAATAAAAAACATCATAGAAAAATACACAGAAACTGTTGCAGTCTTCCCAACTCTTGAAAACCTCACAAATTAGGCAAACAGTGACATCCCTAAGGAAAAGGTGACCGTAGCCATTCTCCTTGAACACTTGGAATGTCTTTATGCCCTGCTTTTCCAGCTTTGTTTTGCATTATTTCGTCCCCTATCTCCTCACTCTCCTCAGGTGAGATTGCTCTCCTAGAGGGACTGACGGTCGTTTACAAGAGCAGCATTGACCTGTATTTCTATGTCATCGGCAGTTCCTATGAAAACGAGGTGAGTTATTCCAACATAGCAAGGAGAAATGTGTGGTTTCATCTATCCAGGAGGTTGGGCTGGATGGCTCTTGTGGTCTCTTCCAGTTCTAAGCTTCTATGATCCTGCTAGGTGGTTCGAATTTGGGGAGCGGGGTGAGCTCCTGTCTGTCAGCTCCAGCTTCTCATGCAGGATATGATAGAAGTCTCCCACAGGATGGTAAAACATCCGGATGTCCCCTGGACAACATCCTTGCAGATGGCCAATTATCTCACACCAGAAGCGACTTGCAGTTTCTTAAGTCGCTCCTGACACGAAAAAGAAAATCCTGCTTTCCATGTGAAGCCTCTATTAAATTGTATTCATTCAAGGAAAGATTCAGTTTTTCTTCAGGCACAAAGCATGCCTGCTGTTACCAATACTTTCACTCCATACAAGAACTGTTGCCCCAGCCTCACAGTCCTATAAAGATTTAGCTTCCATTAAATGGTCATAAGCCTCTATCATGACACTATCATTGGCTGGATTGCTAGCTTTTATATATTTAACTTTGTAAAAGCCTCTAATGAGGCTTAGTAAGTGGTAATAAGAGCTTTAAGATAAAACATGTTGGCATTTTTGATCTCACCATTTTCATTTGGAATGTGGCCCTCAAGGGATTCTGATAAGCTGGATCTGGCCTTTGGGTTGAAAGAGACTCTGCTTTAACAGAGAAGAATGAGCTGGCCATAGCATGCCCTTCTACGGGCTTCACATCCTTGCTGCAGCCTGTCTGCATGTACAACCCCAAAATACTTCATTCGTGTGCATGTGTGTGTAGTGATTGTGTGTGTTTCCTTTGTAGCTGATGCTGATGGCTGTGCTCAACTGCCTCTTCGATTCACTCAGTCAAATGCTGAGGTAAGAATCTCATTTCTGGTGGAGGTTGAATCCTCTCACTTCGGTCAGGGTGAAATTTGAGAACACTATGAAAGTGCAAACATCATGCCTTAAAGATACCGGTGTTTGGAATGGCTACCATACCAAGATCACATTCACCTTTAATAATTAAAGTCCAAACAAAATGTGGAATGAATTGTGTTAAATTACTCTTGTGTACACTTAATGATACTTAAATCCTGGTCCGATGCAGACTCTGGATTTCCCCAGAGGCTGGAAAAATTATTTGTTTGGACTAAAATTCCTAAAGTTCCCTTGCCAGCATGGCCATTAAAGTTGTAGTATAAAAATAAATTTCCCCCTGCTCTGATGCAACCTTTGATACACAAAGTTGCAATATGGAAACTGATGCTTGACTCTACTCAAAATGTTCCTTTTTTCAGCTTTCTCACAAAAACCCTAAGAATGGTTTAAGCACTCAGTTGTGGGAATTTGGGTAAGAAATGTTAGTCAAGGAAAAAGAAGATCAAACGTCATTTCTCTTTCTTTGTTGGGGAGTGATTCTGGTTGAGGATGTTACTTCACAGCAATTTGCTAGTGTTGAGACCTCCAGCTTGGCATGGGAAGCCATCAGCTAGTGGATGCTGCCTTGATGCCAGAGTTCTTTAGAAATTTGGCATAATTTGGTATCTGTATGTGCCCTGTTGGCTAGGCATGTTGGTACAATGTAAGGGAAAGAACTGGCTTCAGGTGAGTCCAAATTTTTGTTCTGCAAAAAGAGAAAGAGGAACAACGGCTACTTTGTTACCTAGGTGGTGACTCTGGGAGTGTTCTAATTGTGGCCAAGGAAAACAGGACTGACAAGCTCTTTGGAATACCTTAGTTTCCTTCCCCATGACCAGGAATAGCTGGGAGTATATTAACGGTAATGAATAAACAAATAAACAAATAAGTACACATTGCCTAGTTTACTTAGATTCTTGATCCAGATTAGGGAATTTATGCATGTCAGCTCACGTGCATAGAGTATATATGCTCCATTTAAGGCAGTGGTTCCCAACCTTTCTTTGACCAGGGACCACTTTGACAGTGACCACTCTCCAACATTAGTACCAAAAGGGTTACGAATCAGTTTTTGGTCAATTTTAGATTCAGTTTGGTTATTTGGGGTGCTGATTCAGAAAATTACATTGGATAGACCACATCAGCTCTAGTTTCTGATACAGAACTTGTGCCATCCAGTAGTCTCCAGCTGCCCACCCATAGAAAACCATATTTAATAATCTAGAGCTGATGTGGTCTATCCAATGCAATTTTCTGAATCAGCACCTAAAATAACCCTAGGAGCAGGCCTAAAAACGAGAACACCAAGGAGCCCCCCGCTTCCAGGAGCCACATGGAACGACTCCACTCGGAGAGGGAGGAGGAGAAGCAACAATCAGGAGGCTTGTTGTCATGCCTTTCATGAGTAGTCAGCTTCTACCCTTCCAACATCCCTGTTGCCTCGGCATTATAAGAGGATTTCACGAGACTAGTTACTCTTGTTGCAATGGTGTAGTAACGGTGAGGACATGTACCATATTTTAGTTCTTGCAGACTGCTGGTGGTCCGTGGACCACAGGTTGGCCTAACCAGCTGTTAGAATTTCTGGGAATTGAAGGCCAAAACTTCTGGGGACCCACAGGTTGAGAAGCACTGGTCTAGGATTATAAGTGCTCTGAGTGTCTCATAGTTCATATTGTAAGCACTGGCATCCATTACAGAAATGAACATCTTGAGATTACTTGCTAGCTCTTGGCCTGTTACACAGTAGTGCTTCAAACTGTGGTCAACAATGTCTACCTCTGTATTGGGGACTCTTGGGTAGAGCAGTTCTCAGTACTGGCATTGATTATTTACTTATTTAGACCCCCAGTTTGTCAGTGAGCAGTATTCTGTTGTTTCTTCTGCAGGAAGAATGTGGAGAAGAGAGCACTCCTGGAGAACATGGAGGGCCTTTTCCTGGCTGTGGATGAAATTGTGGATGGAGGGTGAGTCCACGCTGCAGTGTACATTAGAAGACTAGAGATCAGTTGGATGAAAATTTCTTTTTCTTCCTTCAGTCCAAAATATTTCCAAATCTAATGACAACCTGGTGCATGCATGCTTATGAGAGTGTCTGTGTAAAGGTTTCTGAACAGAATTTGCATCCCTGATGGTTAGGTGTGGTTTGTATGCTCACAATTTCTGCAGTGGACTATGTATCCCAACCCAGAAGGTAATTGCTTTCAATGTCTTACAGGGTGATTCTTGAGAGTGACCCCCAACAGGTGTTACATAGAGTTGCTGTGCGGGTAAGTGGGCCTCATCTCAGCCCTCCTTTGCATATCTGTCCAGCATCTTTCTGAATTGAGCAGTTTGCTACATAGCTCTTGGGTTGGGGGACACTTTTCAGGTAGTCCAAGTGCGTTTTATAGTGTTTTATTGTTTATCTGTGTGACGTTAAATTTTTGCCAGATTTGTAAATTGCCTTGAGTCCCCTCTGGGATTGAGAAAGGCGGGGTAGAAATGAAATAAATAAATTATAAAATCAGAAAGAACAGAATTGACTTAGCCTGTCTTTCTAGCTGAAGAAAGCAGCAAGTTAATTGGGGGGGGGGGGGGGGAGGAGAACGGGGATGATAACACACCTTGATCAATTAAGTGGTGTTTAGAACAATCTCCAGGGGATGGAAACTACAAGTACATAATGGCATAGTTGAGTGTTAAGACTATGCTCTCCTTTACAAGTCAAAAGGCCTATTTTGAAACTTTTCCTTCCTGTTTCAGGGAGAGGATGTCCCTCTTACAGAACAAACAGTCTCACAGGTATGTCTTCCACTTTAGTCTCCTTGGGTTTCATTCATTAAATCCTATTCAGAGCATGCTGATGTTATCATACTGCACTCTTTTCACTTGCAAAGTTTTCTCGTTATTACTTCTCAAGACACTAATGACCTGGGAGGAGATTCCCAGAGCAACCACCTAGGTAACATGTCTGCAGTTGTACCACAATTTTACTTGTTAGTTCAAAACAGACCCAAAGTATGGTGAGAACTTTCACTGTTGTTTTTAAACCTATCTGCCTGAGCCTAGCATTCTCCAGCCCGGTGAGCTCAAGATGGATTAAACTGCAATTCCCAAACATCTGGAGGACATCAGGTTGGTTTAGCATCATCTGTGTAGAGAAGTTTTGATACCATGTTGATAAAACTTCACAGGAAAGAGAAAACTTAAACTGGAGTTTCAGTGTTCTACATAGCAGCCAAAATATCACAGATTTTATGCAGGATCCAGAATAATACAGATTGTATTTGAAGAGAATTGGTGACTGAACTGCCTTCAACCTTTCACCCTTCCACTTCTATTTGTAGGTACTGCAATCAGCAAAGGAACAGATCAAGTGGTCGCTACTGCGATGAAGAGCCACAAGCAACCCATTGACCTACTGTGTCCCTGTCTGCCTTCCCTGTCTCGCACTGACCAAAATATAACATGACCACAGATTTTGAAGTATCTCATATCCTGATCTTAGTCTCATCACTGTTTCATTAGTCGGTACTAGCATTGGGGAAGGGAGACCAGCATGAAGGGCAAGACTGTTTTCAGAACGGCATACTTCGGTGGAAAATATCATCATATCTGATACTGTCTGTCCACTTTGTCCTCTCCAAAACTTTAATCCAAAAAGCTGTATGAAAAAGGGTTTTTTTGCCCTTTGGAGTCCATTTCCAGTTCTACCCATGGGCCGTGCACAAGGCTCCCATCTGGATATATGGCATTTTCACTCTTACAAAACTATGTGGGACCTGGATCCCATGCACCATCCAGCCTGGATCAGTCTTTCAACGTGGTTGCTGCCTGTTGCAAAGGATTCGATCCATATCCTTAGTGTTAGGAAAGTGCCTAGTGCTAGTGAGGGCCCTTTACAGCCACTTGATGTGTTTTATTTGGCCCATGCCTCAATCAACTGCTAATTGAAGGCATCCAGCAAGAGAAGTAACCTGTTGGACTCATTCTTGAATAGTTTCTCGTAGTGCTCTATCCAAATACTTTTTTTATGATTTAAGAAATGTTATCTCTGCTTTTCTTCTGGGATGGCAGAAAATAGATCTTTGCCCTCTTTCATGTGGTTGCTTTTGAAGTGTCATCTTCTCCCTTTCAGGCCCAAAATCTTTGGTTCAAACATTCCATTACCCCACTCTTCCATATTACTTGATTTCTGTACCTTTGGTTATCATTCATTGCCTTATTCTAAACCTGTTCATTTGTGTATATCCTTTTGAAAGTAAGTCACCCAGAACTGGAAGCTGCACAGTCTTTTTAGTTCCTGTGATTTGGAAACTTGGGAATCTTACCCAGTTTTTATCAGTGGTTACACACGACAATTTGCCATAATTTTTTATTCATAGATCAGTTCAGTGATATTGGTCTCTGTTTTACTGGACCATCTTTCTACAGCTGTAAACAGAAGTATTCAGACTTTGCGTTACAGAGTTCTGCAGAGAGGGCGCTTAGGCTAGACATTAATTTTGCTGGCACTGAATCTTTAAGAGGGATCGGCAACATATGACTTCATAGTTTTTCAGACTGCAAATCACATAAACCCTTATCCCTGGCAATGTTGCCTAGAGCTGAAGGAGTTGCAGGAAAAGAGACAATGGGCAATCTCCCACAATTGGTTCTCAACCTGTGGGTCCCCAGATGTTTTGGCCTTCAACTTCCAGAAATCCTAACAGCTTGTACACTGGTTAGGATTTCTGGGAGTTGTAGGCCAAAACAGCTGGGGCCCACAGGTTGAGAACCACTGTTCTATAGAAACATTTTCAAAAGCAGAATTGAGCTCCTTAAGAATTTTGATTATTTTTTAAAACCAAGATGGATATTAAAGGTTTGAATGTTCCAGGATGTGTTGGAGCAGAGTTCCCATCTTCCTGGGTCAGCATAGCCAATTGTGAATGTTACAATTGCCCTTCAGCAACATACACATCCCACCTCTGATCTAGTCCTAGAGTTATATGAGTTATACTTGAAGGGTCTGTTGTAATCAGAGACGTGCCCAGATGTTTCTTCCAGGGATCAGGATTTAGAGTCACACAAAGATCTTTGCCATTCCTCATGACAAACAAAACCAGAATGAGGTTGTCATTTAATACTGAATTACTTGGAAGTAAGCTCTAGTGGTATCTCTAGAACATCCTGTTGAGTAGGTATGTAGAGATTTGTACTATAAATTATGCAGAACAGTTGTTTAATAAATAAACGATACAAGGCAAACTGTGAATAGTTTAACAGAGCTTCACGTGTTGTCAAATCTGTGTTGCCAAATGGGAAAATGGACAACTGTTCAGAAATAACTAACTTGGAATTTCTCTGCAACAGAAGCCATCAACATTCTCTAACTCAAGTCAACAACTACTGCTTTCTGGGCCGTATCTGGATCCTGGTAAAGTCAGTGCAATTTTCCAAGGCCAGGGGTAAGATGCCAGTTGCAGAAAGAACAAGCAAAATTATTGTGGCATCTGATGAATTTGATTTGGTATAGATTTTCATGACCTGTTGCCCACTTATCAAAGTGTTGCTTCTGCTGACAGATTACTGTAAATGTGGTAGCGTGAACACATAAGGGAGTGAATCAGTGAGAATGGTGATTTCTATTGTAATAGCGGTCTCTAAACAGTTCACTTTCCATTGACCCCCCCCACTTACCAACAGTTTCTTCACCCACTGAAGAAAGGTTTTATAGTTTGTGATATCATTGTATGCTAAATAATATCTAATAGTATTTAAGGTGCTGCAAGATCTGTTGCTTTTGCACAAACAAGGGTAATGTTAAAAGGTGACACTCAAAGGCCACTTGCTTAACATCTTACAAACAATTAACACTTTCAAAGGGTGTGATATGTAGATGTGCAGATATGACATACTTTTAGTAGTGGTCTGCTACCTCACGGCAAAGTTCTTTCATCCATTGGAAGAGGGTAAAACAGTACCCATTTGGATTGGTCTTTCTGCATAAACTTTGCAGAACATACACACACACACCTTTTTGTATATTTCAGATGTGTTGGACTACACCACTAATTATTCCCCAACCAACACCATTCACCAAGTTGACGTTGCCTAATCCATGCTTACCGTGGGTTACTCCCAGGGTTGCCGTTTGCTAACTCCACGTCTATAGTGTGCTGTTTCCATACTTCCCTAGACCAAAGTGACAAATTTAATTATATGCCATTAGCAACTCTTGGCTTTCCAAAACAAAAGGAAGAGGAGGTAGACTGGTTCTCTTAACTATTCCCATCAAAATACATCTAAAAAAGATTGGGATTATGATGTGACTTGTAAGTCCTAGCGTTTTTCATCACTGACTGCTGTTGAGGGCTGTCGGGAATTGTCAATCACCATAAGGTCAGCCACATGATTCCCACCCTGATCCAAGAATTACCAAACTGAGTAGAGCCACTGGATCAATGAAATTAAGTTTTGCTGAACTAGAAAGGTCCCAGTAATTCAGTAGATTTTTGGAGGGATTATCCAAAATCTCATTGTGTGTCTTTTAATCAGCTCTGGTGAATAATGTCATTGCGTGTCATCTATCAAATACTATCATGTATCAGTCAAGAAATGCAAACACATTTAAATAGGCAATGGTTAAATATAGATAAAATGTTAGGTGAATGAGCCAAGATTCAGAATGACCGGCCATATATTTGACATTATTTACACAGGCATACTTCTGGAGCTAGTACTCATTTCACCTCTGCACTGAGTTCAGTTTTCCTTCCCTCTTATATATACACCTTTCCAATCATCATATTAAAGGCAAACGAATTTTAATGTAAACAAGATTTTTTGCATTTACAAGAATAAACATTAAAATCACCATTCAAGGATAGCCGTATGGCTTCTAGCTGTAGTGGATTTTGTCCAAGTCATTGAAAAAACCCTCAAAGCATTTCCAAGGAAAATTCCATTTTGGACTGTTGAAAGGTAAAAAGAGAGGCGTAATACAAGAAAGTAGGAATTCTCAGTAACATCTTCAAACCACAGTATGTTTTACAATTTGTGTACATGTATCATTTTGAGAAATAACATTTTTTAAAAGATTAATTTTCATCAGCAGGATCCTACGCTTTAACAGCAGCATGTTATCTGGGAATATAAGAAAGCACATTCCCTGCATGTGTTGAATTCTAGTTAAAGGTATGGAAATCCTGAAAGGGAACCAGGGCAGGGGTGGGAAATGACCACTCAATTTTGGATGCAATTTCTCATTATCCCATAATTCCATCAAATGAATTTTCACTAGAGAAACTGGGGCTACTTCCAGAAAATGAGTCCCGCCTAGCGGATCCACGGGACAAAGAATTTCTCTCTTGTTTGGATGCCCCTTCACCATCTTGAAAGACGTCCTTCCCTCCTCGCTGTGAATTTGGTTCTGAGACAAAGCATTCAAGAAGATCATTGTACCTGTTTATTGCATCTGCAACTTTGCTAATGGCTTCGGCCTGGACCAGAATGGCTTCCCGCATTTGACTGGCAGCGGATCTTATTTCCTTCCTAGTTCTAGAACCCTCTTTTTGAACTTTCTCTCTCTCTTGCATTTCAAAACCCATGTAGTTTTGAAAGGACTGCTGGAATTGATCCATGTTTTTACTTAACCGCAAGAAAGTTTTGGAAAATTGTGTCACTGAACGACCCTTCCTGGCTCTTATCTTGGCAAGATGAATTGTTGCATTGGATGCAGGACGCTGCCGTTTTCTTGCTGTAGGAAGAAAGAAAAACATATCCTATATATGCAGTGCTTCAAGGTGAATTTGCAAAGTTTTGCTTGTGCAGAGTTCTGCTTTAATGTTTATGGATGGTTGTCTAAGATGCTAAAGAGGATCAGCCCTGGTTATTACTTGGATGGGAGACCACCAAGCAATACTTAGACGGAACTGGCAAAACCAGTTTGAGTACTCTTTGCCTAAGAAAACCCTATGAAATTAATTGGGTCACCCTAAGTGTATGAGACCCTGAAGATGCACACTTCTATGTACACACATGCACAGATGTACACACACTTGGGAGTCATGATATCAAAAGAGATTGATGTTCAAATAGAATTTTGGTTATGACAACCCTTTCAGTCTATGTAATGCTTGCTTTCTCTCACTAAATGTCACCATAGTTCTATTTACACAATATAATGTGGGAGGAAGAGCAGGGGGAAACACAGCCCCCAATACTCAGCTGTGGATACAGAAACCTAAAAAAAGGCAAACAATTCATTTCAACTGAGGATAGGGTAGAACGGGGCCCTCTAGATGCTGCTGGATTGCTGCTCCCATGAACTTTAGAGTGATAGTATTTTCAATCAATTTTGATCCCCCCCCCCAAAAAAAATCCTACATAGGAGTGGATGTTTGTTGTTTGTTTCCTCTCTGATCAAGTCCCAGATAAAGGAAAATGGGTTTATGCAGCTACTAGTGCTTGCTGCAGTTATTTAAAATGGAGTAATTTAGCAGAGTCTATGTATTAAAATTCATAAATAACAATATTGTAATATACTACACATTTTATACACACAGAGACCAGGTTACTTCAGGGGGATTGTCAATGCTTTCCTCTACAATGGAGAAAGTGACTTGCTCCAGGGTTACCAGTGGGTTTCTGGTTGAGCAAGGATTAGGACACTGGTCTCTCAGAATCCCAGGACCCTTCCTCGCAACCATATAACCCAGAATAGTAAAGGTAAAGGTTTCCTCTGACATTAAGTCTAGTCATGTCCGACTGTGGGTTGGTGCTCATCTCCATTTCTAAGCTGAAGAGCCGCATTGTCCGTAGATGCCTCCAAAGTCATGTGGCCGGCATGACTGAATGGAGTGCCGTTACCTTCCTGCAAAAGTACCCACTGATCTAGTCACATTTGCATGTTTTCGAACTGCTAGGTTGACAGGAGCTGGGCCTAACAGCAGAAGCTCACCCTGTTCCCTGGATTCGAACTGCCAACCTTTTGGTCAGCAAGTTCAGCACCTCAGCGGTTTAACCCCGCTGCACTAACCAGGGGGCACATAATCCAGAATACTAAGGCAGAATAACTCACAGTATCTGCTTTGAACTGGGTTATCTGAGTCCACACTGCCATATTCCCAGTTCAAAGCAGATAATGTGGGGAGATAATTCAGCTGTATGGAAGGGGCTGGAGTCTATCTCAAACCATTACACAATGGCTCTCTATTACAAATTTGATGGAAGTTGCACTTCAATTACTCTCAAAGGGGCCACAACTTAACCTCTTAGTCAGTTGACCAGAGAATAGTGAGCAGTTTTAGTCCATTCAGGGCCAATGGTATTGCCAAAATGGCAACCCTAACCCAAATCTAACACAGGCTTTTGGATGGTTGCAAGTGTGTGACTTGTCCATGGTCATCCTGTGTGTTTCCATGGCTGAGCAGAGATGAGAACCCTGGTTTCCAGAGTCATAGTAGTAGCACTCAAACCATGCTGGTGTTCACTGCCATAAATGTCAAGAACCAAAACAAAACCCCACAAGTGGCTGGGTTCTGCAATCTGTTTATAAAGGAAAATTACAACAGAAAAGTGCAGTCTGGGTGAGTAAATAACTGTGTTCAGAACCCAGTGGGCACCCCCCAGAGCCACCCTTTACTCACCCTTGAGCAAAGTTGAAATAAAAGACCCATACTTACGTAATGCTTTGGTGGCGGGGGACCCTGAGCCAGAAGTGCCAAGAGAATCCTCTGAAAGTCTTTGTGAGGCTCTAGAGCTACTGTAGGGTAGCTCAGGCTCCTGGGTCTGGTCAGACAATGATTGCTCTGTAGATTGTGGCAAACTTTTCAGTTCCTCGGTATGCCTTTTACTCTTCTTAACGGCAGAGACTGGGGAGGCAGCCGGCTCTGGTTCCGCATCATTCTCATCTTGGCAAATATCTTCCAGGAAATGGTAGTAGTGCCAGAAGGAGTCGTCCTGACTGATCTGGCCATTGTCCTTCTTAATGTCCCTGTACTGCCGCTTTAAATCTTTTGCTTTGGTCCGCAGCTGAGCCGCACTGCGATTGTAGCCGAACTCAGCCATTCGGTCAGCAAGCTCTTCGTAGATGGCTTGATTCCGGTGGCAGGCTTTCAGTTGCTTCTGCACATCCAGCTCCCCAAAGAGGCTGAGGAAGACCACGGTCTCCTGGTGGTTCCATCTCTCCCCTCGTTGCCGCGGCATGGCAAAAAAGGAGGCTGCCAAGGAAATCAAAAGAAAAATAAATCAAAAGCTTGTTCCTTGGTTCCTCATTTTAGAGTTCTTCCTGGAATCTATCAGGCAGGACATATTCATTTTAGATTACAACTCCCAGAACCAACAGCCACCTTCCACGTGGGTGACTTCCTCTCCTTGTAATTATAATACTATTTTTAATGAGGTACAGTGGGCTCTTGTTATACCATAATCCATGGATGCTCAAATCTTATTATATACAATGGCATAGTAAAATGGTGCCCTCTATAAAAATAGCGATATTTGGGGTGGAGGGGTTTGCCAAGGGGAAATCTGTGGATATGAAGTTCAAAAAATAACATAAGCACGAAATAAAATTAGGCTGAGCTTGTACAAGCACTCTTTTAACCTCACAAGTAACCAACAGCAGCATCTATAGATCTAAGATGAAAGGCAAATCATTCAAAGGAAATCTGAGATGAAAGACAAAACCTTTCACAGTGTGTAGGCCCAGTTTTCAGGCTGACAGAGAAAACTAACACTTTTTAGTTCAATAACAGGTTAACTCAGGGCTCTTCCCCACAGCTCTATATCCCTGCATCTCAAGGCAGAAAATCCTACATTTTCTGAGTGTGGACCCACAGCTCTTCCACACAGCCCTATATCCCAGAATATCAAGGCAGAAAATCCCACATTATCTGAATGTGGACTCAGATAACCCAGTTCAAAGCAGATATTATGGGATTTTCTGCCTTGATATTCTGGGATATAGGGCTGTGTGAAAGGGCCCTCAGATAACCCATTTCAAAGCAGAATCTGTGGCATTTTGTGCCTTGATATTCTGGGATATGGGGCTATGTGGAAGGGCCCCCAGTACCACATAATGGTGCACTGCAGTTTGATACTTACTCTACAACAGTTGTACTACAAACCCCATCCTTCTTAGCCATTGTGTCTTAGAAAACAAACAACTGCCACCTAACACATCTGGAGGGCACTATGGTGGAAAAGGCATAGGATTGCCAGCCTGTCATTCCAAAAAACATTTCAAAACCTATGTGTCTACTATGTGTTCAACATTTCCTTCAAAAAAGCACATGTTCTCCTTCCATAATACTTGTCTCCACTCGTTTGCAATGTTTCTGCTTTCCCCCCTTTACTGGATTTTAGATCTAAGATGCTCACAAAGACATATATCCTCTTACAGTAGAGCTAGGAATAATGGCCCTTTGAATGCCATTGAATTTAAAGTCGTAGCTCTAATGACAATTGCCAATAGGCGTGCTGGGAGTTGCAGTTCAACATCCACCATTCCTCTGGCAGTTTAAGACTGTTTGGCAAACTGTTACTGCCTATACGTGGTAACTAATTATGGTCAAGCTAGAAGGATGAGAACAGCCTTTATATCTGTCTCCCTACCACAGCAGCATTATATTTTGCTCTGCCTTACTCCATCCTTTCCTCTTTCAGCTCATGTGAGGCAGAGTCTAAGTGCATGCATCCTCAAACTGTGGCCCTCCAGCTGTTTGGGCCTCCAACTCTGAGAAGCCCTAGCCAGCTTGTTCAATGGTCAGGAATTCTGGGAGCTGGAAGCCCAGACAGCTAGAGGGAAGCAGTTTGGGGATGCCCGGCCTAGTGTGACAAAACACTTTTTTTTGTCGTGTCAGGAGCAACGCTCCTGTTGTGAGAGAATTGGCCGTCTGCAAGGACGTTGCCCAGGGGACGCCTAGATGATTTTTGATGTTTTATCATCCTTGTGGGAGGCTTCTCTTATGTCCCCGCATGAGGAGCTGGAGCTAATAGAGGGAGCTCATCCTCCTCTCCCCAGTTTTGAACCTGCGACCTGTCTTCAGTCCTGCCGGCACAGCGCTTTAACCCACTGCGCCACAGGGGGCTCCAAAACACCACTACTGCTATAACACACACATCTGGATTGACTTTGTGCATATGTGTATGTGCTTTGCATGTTGATTTATGGGGACCCTATGAATTCTGTATGGAATACGCAATTGTGGTTTTTGCCAATTCCTTTATTTCTACTGTTAAATGCCAAATTAATTTTACACACTTTTAAAAACTGGTGATTTTTTTCACTTAATATCTGGCAACTGGATCAGGATTATACCACCGTATCATTTAGGTTAGAGCTTTTTTTGGAAGCTTTGTAACCCTCCCAGCTGAATGAAAACAAGTACGTACTAGCCAATAATAATCATCCTCACAGTGGCCATCCAGATATCCTAATGGGAAGAACCCAGGTAGCGCTATAAAGACAATGCATCCCCCCCCCCCCATTTCACACAAATACATACTGAGGCCCCTTCTACACTGCCATATAATCTAGGTCCCTTCCACACAGCCCTATATCCCAGAATATCAAGGCAAAAAAATCCCACAATATCTGCTTTGAACTGGAATATATGGCAGTGTGGACTCTGGGCCCTTCTACACAGCCATATAACCCAGAATATCAAGGCAGAAAATCCCACAATATCTGCTTTGAACTGGGTTATCTGTGTCCACACTGCCATGTATTCAAGTTCAAAGCAGATAATGTGAGATTTTATCCAGTTGTGTGGAAAGGGCCCCAGATTGTCAAAGTAGATAATTCACATTCTCTGCTTTGAACTGGATTATATGAGTCTACACTGCTATATAATATAACTCAGTTCAAATCAAATAATCTGGATATTATAAGACAATGTAGAAGGGGCCTGAGACCTTTCACACACCCATATAACCCAGGCCCCTTCCACACAGCTTTATAAAATGCACATTAAACTGGGTTATATGGCAGTGTTGATCAGATTATCCAGATCAAAGCAGATATTGTGGATTATCTGCCTTGATATTCTGGGTTATATGACTGTGCAGAAGGGCTACCATAATATCAAGGCAGAACAACATCCCACAATATCTGCTTTGAACTGGCTTATCTGAGTCCACACTGCCATATAGTGCAGTTCAAAGCAGATAATATTGGATTTCATTCAGTTGCGTGGAAGGGACCTGTCTCAATACAAAAATGTATCCATCCTCTAACTGCTAATAGTAGCTAGCTATAGATATGATGGTTCTTAGAAGGCCAAGCCAATAGAGTTGTCTTCAGAAATAAATGTTAATGACATTTCAATCACAGTTACAAATTACCCTCCTTGTGCAATAAGGCACTGCTTGCCTTGTTGAAGTACAAAGTGACATGCCTCCCTTAAAAGTTTCTCTTGTTATTCTGCCACACTTCTGTACCGCTGGATTTTTATTTAAGGCTGTATCCATTTGTGGAGGGGGAGGCAACAATTGCAAACAATAATATAGCAGAGTCTCAGGTCCCTTCTACACTGCCATATAGAATCCAGATTATCTACTTTGATAATCTGTATTATACTGCAGTGTAGAAGGGGCCTCAGTTAACTCAAGCAGCCGGAACACTCCACCATCTGACTGCCATTTAACTAATATGACATACGGCATTCACAAAGCAGTTCTTATAAAGACAATCTGTATGACTGTAGACAAAAACTGTATAACATTTACAGGCCTTTCACTTACTGTATTTCAACATGAATATCAAGTCCATACAGAGTTGTTGGCATGGTATAGTAAGCAGTATAGTATGAGCCAGGCCTAGTAACTCTCAAGCAACCCGATATTATATTTATTTGACATCTAACAATCCCAACGTGGCTCTCCAGCTGTTTGGGCCTCCGATTCACTGAAGCCCTAGCTAGCTGTTCCAATACTCGGGAATTCTGGGAGCTGAAGTCCAAGGCCCATTCAACACAGCTATATACAATCCAGATTATCTACTTTGAACTGGATTATATGGCAGTGTAGACTCAGATAATCCAATTCAAAGCAGATAATGTGGATTATCTGCTTTCATAATCTGGATTATATGGCAGTGTAGAAGGGGCCCAAGAAAACACCTGGAGGGCAGCAGGTTGTGTCAACCAGGTCTACTATAACACTGACCAACACACACTTGGGTGCCTCAAATATTCGCCCTGTTTCTACTAGATACATTTGACCTACTGATGCCAAAAATGACACCAGTCCCCTCCTATCAGCTCTGGGGCTCCTCCTACATTGCCATATAATCCATATTATCAAAACAGATAATCCACATTATTGAACTGGATTATATGAATCTACACTGCCATATAAACCAATTCAAAGCAGATAATCTGCATTTCATATAGCAGTATAGCAGGGATCGCATTTCTGATACACAAAATATGCCATCTGCAGTCTGTATCTGCTCGTCCATAAAAAAATCCTAACCATATAAAAGAAACTAAGGGCCCTTCCACACAGCAATATGACCTAGAATATTAAGGCAAATAATCCACAATATCTGCTTTGAACTGGATTATTTGAGTCCACACTGCCAAATAATCCAGTTTTAAAGAGCTATGTGGAAGGGGCCTTAGAGCTGATGTGATCTAGCTAATGAAATCTGAATCAGCACCCCAAATAACCCCAGGAACAGGCCTACAAACCAAGGCCCCTTCAACACTGCTTTGAATTGGGTTATATAAGGTCTCTTCTACACTGGGCCCTTCCACACAGCCCTATATCCCAGAATATCAAGGCAGAAAATTCCACAATATATACTTTGAACTGGGTTGTCCGATTCCACACGCAGATAATGTGGGATTTTCTGCCTTGATATTCTAGGATATAGGGCTGTGTGGAATAGCCCACTCTCATATAAAATCCTGATTATCTGGATTATATGGCAGTGTAGACTCATATAATCCAGTTGAATGTGGATAATCTGGATTTATTGCCTTGAAAAATCTTAATTATATGGCAATGTAGAAGGGGCCCAAGGGCCCTTCCACACTGCCGGAATATCAAGTCAGATAATCCACAATATCTGCTCTGAACTGGGTTATCCGAGTCCACACTAACATATAATCCAGTTCAATGTGGATTTTATACAGAAGGGGCCTTAGTTACCAGAGTCCACACCACTGTATAATCCAGTTCAATTTGGATTTGAAGGCCTTTCCACATAGCCATATAACCAAAATATCAAAGCAAATAATCCATAAGATCTGCTTTGGACTGTGTTATTTTATTTATTATTCAAATTTATATGCTGCCACTCTCCTGAGGCTTTCAAGAACAAGCTAAATTCTAACACAATTTTAAAACAATTTAAAACAATTTAATAACAACAATATCAAAGATCAAAGGCCTGTCGAAACAGATTACATGAGCCCATACTGCCATATAATCCAGTTCAATGTGGATTTTATACAGCTGTGTAGAAGGGGCCTTAGTTATCCGAGTCCACACTGCTGTATAATCCAGTTCAGTGTGGATTTTATACAGCTGTGTAGAAGGGGCCTTTGTTATCTTAGTCCACACTGCCGTATAATCCAGTTCAATTTGGATTTGAGGGCCCTTCCACACTGCCATATAACCAAAATATCAAGACAAATAATCCACAATATCTGCTTTGAACTGGGTTTTCTGAGTCCACGCTGCCATATAATCCAGTTCAATGTGGATTACATACAGCTGTGTAGAAGGTACCTTAGTTATCTGAGTCCACACTGCTGTATAATCCAGTTCAATTTCGATTAGAGGGCTCTTCCACACTGCCATATAAACAAAATATCAAGACAGATAATCCACAATATCTGCTTTGAACTGGGTTATTTGAGTCCACACTGCCATATAATCCAGTCCAAAGCAAATAATCTGTATTTTATATGGCAGTGCAGAAGGGGCCCAAGATGACAAGAAAAAAAAAAGATATGTTGGGCTGTATGATCAGCAGCAGCACCCAGAATAATAAACTGTTGTCTACATTACAAAAATGGTATAGATAGAGATATTATCTAGCTAGGGGCCCTTCCACACAGCCCTATATCCCAGAATATCAAGGCAGAAAATCCCACATTATCTGAGTGTGGACTCAGATAACCCTGTTCAAAGCAGATAACGTGGGATTTTCTGCCTTGATAATCTGGGATATAGGACTGTGTGGAAGGGCCCTAGAAGTATGAACTATCAAGGGTGCATACATTTGGGGAGGGGGGCACTGCATGCAGAGACATAAACCCAAAAGTATAAGCTATTCAGGGTCGTTTGGGGCCACCCCATAGAGGCAGGAGGGCAAGTAGCCCCTGCTGGCTTTCAACCACCAATCAATGTCTGGATCCCCCCTTGGAAAGGCTGCTGAACTTGCCCAACCTTTGGGCCAGGCATGCGGCAATGGGCCCTCCTGCTCTGCAGCCCCTCCCCAGCGAACATGAAACCTTCGCAGGGCTGGTGGAAACCCCTCCTTCCCAAACAGAACACATTCCGCAAAGCCAAGCCCAGTTTCCCCATAGGGAAGTCTCATGAAGGGAAGGCACATTTCCCCGCAGAATGGCCGCCCTTGGAGCTCACATTTTGCAAGGGAAGACAGCGGAAGAGGGGGGCGCAGAGGAAAGAAAGGGAAAAGCATGGGATCAGGGTCCCCCAGGGGGGAAAAACTGCAACACCCCCCCCCCCTCCAAAAATAAAGTCTAAACCTCACGTGGAGATGCCAGATCGGGAGTCTTTAGAGAGGCCTGGAGTCCTTCAAAGTCTTTTTTTTTTAAAGGGGAAGGAACATCCGGGAAACTGGTTTGGCTTTCCTGGATTGCACTGAACTACCACCTCTTGGCAACAAAAAAAAAATATGTTAAAGCAACACACGCATTCTAAACAAAATTAAACGAAAAGGATCTGCAAAGTCAACCCCGAATTTCCAATTTCTTTTGCACCCATTTTTTAAAATATATACATTCACCTTCATCCACCAGCCCCTTCCTTTTGAGTTGAGATGCAACAGGATTGGCTTCGAGCTGCCACACCACACCGCCTGGGCTCCCCCCGCTTTTTGGGGTTTTTTGTTTCCAGGCTGCATCTACACAGTCGAATTAGTGCAGCTTGGCATCACATTGGCCGCCACGGGCATCATGGGAGTTGGAGTTCCACGTGAACTGTAGCCCTCCCTGCCCCATGAAAGCTGGTGCCTCACTGAACTCCACATCCCAGCATTCCAAGGGCCCTTCCACACAGCCCTATATCCCAGAATACCAAGACAGAAAACCACATTATCTGATTTAAACTGAAATATATGGCAGTGTGGACTCAAAATAACCCAGGACCCTTCCATACAGCCCAATATCCCAGAATACCAAGACAGAAAATCACATCTGATTTGAACTGAAATATCTGGCAGTGTGGACTCAAAATAACCCAGGACCCTTCCATACAGCCCAATATCCCAGAATACCAAGACAGAAAATCACATCTGATTTGAACTTAAATATCTGGCAGTGTGGACTCAGGTAACCCAGGGCCCTTCCACTCAGCCCAATATCCCAGAATACCAAGACAGAAAACYACATTATCTGRTTTAAACTGAAATATMTGGCAGTGTGGACTCAGATAACCAGGGCCCTTGCACACAACCTTATATCTCAAAATACCAAGACAAAAACCCACATTATCTGCTTTGAACTGGAATATGTGGCAGTGTGGACTCAGATAACTCAGGGCCCTTTGACACAACTCTATATCCCAGAATATCAAGGCGGAAAATCCCACATTATCTGAATGTGGACTCAGAGCCCTTCCACACAGCCACATAACCCATAATATCAAGGCAGAAAATCCACAGTATCTGCTTTGAACTGGGTTATCTGAGTCCACACTGCCATATATTCCAGTTCAAAGCAGAAAATGTGGAAATTTATTCAGCTGAGGTCTCTTCCACATAGCCATATAACCCAGAATATCAAGGTAAATAATCCACAATATCTGCTTTTAACTGGGTTTCCATATTTTCTGCTTTGAACTGGAATATATGGCAGTGTGGATTCTGGGCCCTTCCACATAGCCATATAACACAGAATGTCAAGGCAGATAATCCACAATGTCTGCTTTGAACTGGGTTATCAGAGTCCACACTACCCTATATTTCAGTTCAAAGCAGAAAATGTGGAAATTTATTTAGCTGAGGTCCCCTCCACACAGCCCTATATCCCAGAATATCAAAGCAGAAAATCCGACAATATCTGCTTTGAACTAGGTTATCTGAGTCCACAGTCAGATAATGTGGGATTTTCTGCCTTGATATTCTGGAATGTAGGGCTGTGTGGAAGGGCCCTGAGTCCACACTGCTATATATCCCAGTGCAAAGCAGATAATGTGGGATTTTATTCAGCTGTGTGGAAGGGGTCTCAGATAACCCAGTTCAAAGCAGATATTGTGGAATTTTCTCCCTTGATATTCTGGGTTATATGGCTGTGTGGAAGGGCCCAAAATCAACTAAAGTGGTATCGAATTGTATTGCTTTGATAGTGTAGATGCCCCACTGTATATATATATTGATTGACTTACCCCTGGCGCCTGCCTCGGCAGCAGGACCAAATTTTGAAGCTGACATCCAGGCTCTGTCTCTCAGGGGCAAAGCAACAGCAGCAACCCTGTCCAGGACTATGCAAAAAGAAGGTTGTAAGGCTTAGTGGCCCAGCAGCATCCCTTCCCCCTCTGCTCCTGGGCTTCCCAGACTTGCAAATGGGTTCCCATTCAAACTGAAGGGAGGGTCCCATCAAGCTGGATGGCCTTCTCATTCAGGAAGGGAATGGCTTTCCTTGGCCTTTGAGCAGCCACCCATCACTCTCTATGGGGTTCCCTTTGCAAGGCCCTGCCTTGGGGGGGAGGGGGAGAAAGGATGGGAATGGGAGGCCAGCCTCTGGCTACATAATGGGCAAGGTTGAAGGGCACCTCCCTCCTAATCTCACGTAAAGGGCATCAGAAAACGTGCCACACGTTGCCTTCAGAAAAGAAAACAATGTTAGGAGATCACTAGTTACATCAATGCGGGCCTAAAAGGTAAAAAGGTCAAAAGCTCAGGAAAATGGCATTCATAACCTTTTGGGAAAACCAGGAATCTTTGGGAAAGGCATGACCCTGTTAGATATTGTGACCTTTTGTAAAGTATGATCTTCCTGAGAAGACTTAAATACTCCCTTGAGTCCACCTTCTCCTTAGTGGTAAATATCCACTAGCATTACATGCAAGGCAATTAGATTTCTCAGTTGTTAGACTGATATACCTAGATATCCCTTTGAACTGTTAGGAACAAAGATATGCCAATGTACAAAAAACAGCAGAGTTTCAGAAGTGTTCTTTTCAGTTGCCCAAAAAAATCTACTTTCCCATAAATCATCTTGGTTTTTAGTGGTCCTCAGCCTGTGGATCCCAAGGTGTTTTGGCCTACAGCTCTCAGAAATCTCAGTTTGCCAGTTGTTAGGATTTCTGGGAGTTGAAGGCCAAAACAACTGGGGATCCACAGGTTGAGAACCACTGGTTTAAATCATGCTATCCAGAGACCAAAAAGAAAGTAGTCTTCATCAGGCATGTAGCCCGGGGGGGGGGGGGGCTCTTGGTGGTCCGCGAGAAGGCCTTACTGGTACATTATTTAAACTGTTATGTTTATTCATATCATGATCTGATCACCATGCTCAATATATCCCATATGCATGTAATGATACAAAAGGTTTGCTAGGGTAAACCCTCTTTCACTCAGACTCAGCCCCCCCCCCCCCGAATCAAACTCAGCCCCCCCCCCCCCAAACAAAATCCTGGCTACGGGCCTGGTCTTCTTTAAAATGGCATAGTTGGTTTACTCACAGACTTCATATATTCAGCATACAGGAACATTGCTTATCAATCCAGTTACAGATAGGATTTGAAGTAGTTTCTCTGTGCAGATAACACAGCACATCTTTCTTAGAATTAACAGTCCAAAGTGTAAAGCATATCCCTGGCCTGAGAGTTGAATACAGTCTCTAAAGCATTCTGTTTCTACTGACGTCTAAAAGCATACAGTTTCTAAAATGGAGTCTGAGTCTGAACAAATCCCAGATCTGGTCACATGGTCTGCAGTCCCTCCCACAACACAGAGTTAAGGAAAACTGCATACCAATACACACATTACAATTCAGTAAACAATCTGTATTGTAATATAATATACATAACGAATAACTAGTGGGGGCTTGAAGAAGGTTGCTACTTCCAACAGTTCACAATCTCATATTGAGCAAAAATGTAATGATGGAGGTTGAAAGTTGCGACAAAAAAAGAGGGGGGGGGTAAAGGAAAAGCTATACTGTTATCTAAGGGTTTAGGTTTTGACCAAAAGGTTGGGGCAGGGAGGCAAGACAGATGAGGGTTAATTTCCTGGCCAAGGTGAGATTGAGGCCTCCATGTCCACTCAGACCCCTTCTACATTGCCATATAATCCAGATTATTTGCTTTGAACTGGATTATATGAGTCTACACTGCCAGTTCAAAGCAGATAATCTGGATTTTATATAGCAGTGTAGAAGGAACCTCAGTCTCTGATACCCAGGCCAGGTTCCAGTATTTGGACCTGCTTCAGACATCTGGCCCCAGCATCTCAATTGAGCCCTGACATCTGATTCTAGCATCCCAGCAGCTCCAGCAGCTCCTTCCAGATGGCTCTGTCCAAGGCATGCCTCCCATGGCGTTTCCTTGGCAAAATTAGTTAAGAAGGGATTGCCTTTGTCCTCCTCTGAGGTCCCCTAGTGGGTGTTCATGACCAAGCAAAAATTCAAACTCCGGTCTCCCTGAATCATAATGTCTCTTAGTTACATGACAACGAGACTTTTTGTTACTACTGAAGCCTCAGGGGATAGAGGTGAATGTATTGATTCAGGCTCCTTCTACACTGATCAGATCCTGGGATATAGGGGCAGTGTGGAAGGGGCCTCATTCTTGTTCAGCTATTTCCCATTGGAAACTGCATTTAAAATTATTTTGTTCACTAGCCTTCTTGAAATTAAGAGCAATGTTTTAGGAGATGAAAATGTTCTCCTAGGCCCCTTCTACACTGCCATATAAAATCCATATTATCTGCTTTGAACTGGATTTTATTTATTTATTTATTTAAAACATTTATATTCTGCCCTACCCACCCTGAAGGGGACTCAGGGCAGAGCACAGCATATATACGGCAAATATTCAATGCCAGGACACAAATTCATATACACATACATAAACATTAAAAACATTTATCTCAATATTAAAATACACCATTTAAAACCGTCCTTATATGGCAATGCAGATTCACATAATCCAGCTCAAAGAAGATAATGTGGATTTAATGTATTGTCGAAGGCTTTAATGGCTGGAATCACTGGGTTGTTGTAGGTTTTTTCGGGCTATATGGCCATGTTCTAAAGGCATTTTCTCCTGACGTTTCGCCTGCATCTATTGCCCCAGGCACTGCCAGGCCATCAAATGCTAATCAAGGTGGTCAATTGAAACATCCACACCTAGTTCCAACAGACAAGAGTTCTTTGTCCCAACCTGGTCATTCCACAGATATATAAACCCACTTTCCTAGTTCCAATAGACCTCACTACCTCTGAGGATGCTTGCCATAGATGCAGGAGAAACGTCAGGAGAAAATGCCTCTAGAACATGGCCATATAGCCCAAAAAAACCTACAACAACCCAATAATGTGGATTATCTGTTTTGATAATCTGGATTATATGGCAGTGTAGAAGGGGCCATAGTTGTTTTCAGACATTGACTTTCCAATATAAGATTGCTATCAACATCAG